AACATCGAATACGAATCATAAGGACAATTTTGAGTTCTCCTCTGATGAGACTAACCCTACCACAGAAAAACTAGCAAATTTAGCTAACTGTGCAGTACAGGAGGAAGGACAGGATGATGATCTGAATGAAGCTCCTGCCAATGATGTTGATGTATCTTCAGATGATGAATTCCTAAAGATTGTTGCTCCTGACATAGCTCAGAAACTAATGACCAAGAAAGGAAAAACTAGTCTGAAAGGCTACTCTCGCAAAAGTCAAAGAAAAGGAGCTCATGTTGGGTCCTCCAAAACTAGGATTAAAACTACCTCCAAGAAAAGGAAAGTCACTGAGAGCAGCCTTGAGTCTGAAGGTGATGCTATAAGAGATGTTCCTAACATCTTCAATGTCAAACATTCATTGGGTAAGAGGCCACTTAAACCCATGCCAGCGGCACCTCTAGACAACATCTCCTTCCACTCCATTCACAGTGTAACCAAATGGAGATATGTCTATCAAAGGAGAATAGCCCTTGAGAGAGAATTAGGGAAGGAAGCCCTAGAGATCAAGGCTGGACTACTTAAGACAGTCACTGGATTTTCCAGATGCTACGAAGGACTGGTAAAGGAGTTCATTGTAAACATACTTGACTCAATCTCAAGCAGAAACAACAAGGAGTTCATGAAGGTATTTGTTAGAGGAAAGTGTGTGCAATTCTCTCCTACTGTGATCAATAGGTATCTGGGGCGAGCAAATGATGGAACAACAGAATTGGAGACTTCAGACAACCAGGTCTGCAAGATCATCACTGCAAATCAAGTCACAACATGGCCATCCAAAGGGAAGTTGTCTGCAGTACTGCTCAGTGTAAAGTATGCCATTCTTCATAGAATTGGAGCTACAAATTGGGTGCCTACCAACCATACATCCTCCATTGCGGTTGGACTAGGCAAGATCATTCATGCCATAGGTACCAAAGTCAATTTTGCTTTTGGTCTATACATCTTTGATCAGACTGTTAAGCACTCCACAACCAGTGCTGTCAGGTTACCTATTGCATTTCCCTCCCTCATTTGTGAGACCATCCTAAATCAACATCCTGGGATCCTGAACTCAAGTGATGCTGTCAGCAAGAGGGGGCCTGAACTGTCACTTCACTTTAAACTGTTTGAAGGAAGACATGTTCCAGATATGAAGGTTACATCTTCTGAGAAAGTTAAGATCTTCAAAAGAATGATGATTACAGAATTAAAGGAAACCTGTAAGGAGTTAGGAGAAACCATCAGTACAGCTACTACCAGAAAAACCAAGCTAGAAGTTCTTATCCAAATGCTTGAAAGAGATGCAGATCATAATGGAGATGTGTTAGAAGAAGAGGCTGATGACAGGTGTGAGAATGTCCCAACCAATGTCAATAACAGTGACTCCAGTTCGTCCTCTGAGGAAGAGGACTGAAGTGATATCTACCTGGGTGGCTCAGACTACTGATTACTGAGTTAGTGCAGGAAGAGGTGATGTTGTTGTTTTATTTTGCGTAGTTCTGGGTAGACTTTTGTGAGCAGTGTTTGACAACCTGTTTCTTTTTTTCTCTCTATGAGCAGTTTGTATAATTTGTCCCTAACAATTGTATGGTTACAATGTATGATTTATGCTAAGTTCTTAGTTGGATCTTAATTTATGGCTAAAAAAGGGGAGAGAGAGTATAATAGAGAAACAACAGGTACAGAAGGATGAAAGAACAGGTGGATAAGCTTGAAGACTTGCTAGAGCATATGTACCATTGTGCATTGCTTGCAGAGGCTGCTGATGATGTGTAAATTCCTAGCTTGAGTAGGATTGTATGTTAGAACTAGGAGCTCTATGCTGAGGTAGCTAGGAGCTAATCTTGTGTGTGTCTGCAAGTTGTGAGCAGAATGAGAGTAGTGTGTATCCTTTCAGGGGGATCAGCATAGGTGTGTGTGACTTCAGAATGTCATTCTGATTGTCTAGACATCCACGGGGTGGATGTGTGTATATGTGACTGCAGGGTGTGCAGGTGAAGTGTTCAACTGATAAGATGTATCAGTTGAGGGGGAGTAACTCTTTGTGTTACTCACTCAGCAAAGAGTGACATCTGTAGTGGTAATTTACAGATGGTTAACAAGGTGAGTTTTAACTAAGCTGAGAGATAACTGTGAGGACTCTGAGAAGTTGAGTAGCTATTAACTTTCTTGCATGACAGGGTGCATGTTGAGTCTTCTGCTGTGGGTAAATCTCTGATATGATAACAGAGTGTTTTAGCCAAAAAATTTCCAAAGGGGGAGTTTGTAAGTGCTCTTGATTGGCTGCATTTTGTGGCAAAACCTTAGAGTACATATGTATGTCATGACTGATGTTAGTGCATACATAATATGGACTGTGCAGGGTAAGTTGACTTAGCTAAAAGCAAGTTAAGCTGAATGTCATACCCAATGTTATGACTTGGATCGTATGACATCAAGCGTGTGTTTGTTTTTTTGGTAGCTAGAAACCAGGAAACTGTATAGGAGATAAAGCTAGAAATCATGAGACTTTTTAGAAGCCCTAGGCAAACTAAAATATCCCTAAATTAATTGGCAAGCGTGCAGATTATTGAAGATAGGTTTGTTATGAATAAAACCTAATTTATGCACCAAGGCCCAAAGGACTGACAACTGCTATAAATATCAAAAGGAGCAATCCTGAAGAGGCAGCTATTGACATAAGAATAGAGAGTACTACTTTAGAGTCCTTGGGAGTGAAGAAGGCTAGTCTTCACGGGTGGATTGTGTCTTAGGAATACTTGTACTCCAATCAATTGTCTGTTGGATAATTGCATTGGCTAGGTAGATTCTAAGTTGTATCTCACTCAAAGCTGTGAAGCAAGAGTGTGTGTACCTTGATCAAAGCTGTGAAACAAGATCAAGGTGTGTATGAAGTGTTCCTTCATATTGTTTTTGTAATTGTGAATTATATATCACTGTGGTGTGATTGAGAGGGAGTGAGTGGGAATACTCAAGTCTAGAGTGTCTCTAGGTTGAAGTGTCATTGGGTAGGTTTTAAGTGAGGAGTGCAAATTGTGTTGTTTGACTCTGATTTAATTTTGCTAATAGTGAAGTTCCTCCCTGGCTTGGTAGCCCCCAGATGTATGTGTTGTTGACACTGAACTGGGTGAACAATTGTTATGTTATTTACTGCTTTATTATTACTGATTATTAGCTGTTAAGTAGCAGATGTCATTGTGGATGTTATAACTTTGGGAATAACATCCATCGTGTGCTTGCCAGAATTTTCATATCCATAAGTATATTTTAAAGAATTTGAATTACTATGTATTTTAGTTATGTCGCAATCTATGAGCAGTGACTTATAATTTTGGTTAAGATACAATCTAAGACCATATATTGGATCACTTAGGGTATGTTATTTTAATGATTTGTTGTCATATTGTTTGTCAAATTGTATGGTGAAATCTCTTTATTGACCTCAAATGGTTGTTTGTCAAATTAGGAAAACTATGTCAATGTTTTAGGCCACAATATGCCAAAATTGAGGCAACCTATGTCAAAATTTAGGAGTGACTATGCCAAATTTTAGTCAAATTATGTCAAAAAATTAGCAAAATTAAGACACTTTTATGTCAATATTTAAGCAAATTTTTTTCAATTAAAGCAACAACCTATCAAATTTATACAATTTCACACAATTTATAAACTTCAACACAATTCCATTAGAAACACAGTGATTACATTAGTGATTACATTGCTCACACACCCTTACTTCATCAATTATATTTCATTATTAGGTACACATTAGTCATAAGAGAAATTACAAAACAGAAAAACTTGATTTTTCCAGCTTATGCCTCTGATCTCAATTTCGTTTGCAGCTTCATATTCTTCTTCTTGGAACCTTCATACAACTCTCTCGACAGTTCAACTGTCTCCAATTCCTTCAGCTTGTTGACATCTACATGTTCAACACCATTACTATCTGCTTCAACCAAATCTTCACCCCATATGAATAAATCACAAGTTTTTTCACTCTCTCAAATTGGACATCTCCAGAAGAGCATGTCTTTATTGCGACCTTTCTTGCATACGTACGAAACCATACAAGCTTCACAACCACAACTCCTTCCTCGCGGCATCTCACAGAGGACGGAGACATGCTCATGAGTTTCGTAGCATATGTTTTGGAATACGACATCAACCTTCCTTTGATGATGACGAATTAGGATTGCAAGTAAGGAAGCTTTGACTACGACTGGTTACAAAGAAAGAGGAATTAGGTTTACTACCAAGAGGACGAAGTTAAAGAAAGAGGAATTAGGTCACAATGAGGAATTAGTTTCAAATGCGACTTGTAATCTATTTATATACGAGGAAAATAGTAATTGTCCAATTATTTAAAAAAATTTGTCAAGTCACCATCCACATAGGCTTTCATTAAGTGCGTTAAGTGGAATAGACGGTGGAAACAAAAATAATAAATATAATTATTTAAGTGCGTTAAGTGGAATAGACAGTGGAAACAAAAATAATATATATATATATATATATATATATATATATATATATATATATATATATATATATATATATATATATATATATATATATATATATATATATATATATATATATAACCCTTTAATAACCCTTTAATAAAAATAATGATATATTTCAAAAATAATGATATAAATAAGGATACAAGTTAAACTACTAGCCAACAATTTCATCTCAACTTGTTAAATGTTAAGGGCGTGAATGTGATTTTTAATACATATATAAACCAGATAAACTCAAAAGCTCATAACTGCAATTACTGTGAAATTTGGACTAAATACCCTCTGCAATGCAAAATAAAATTATGTTTTGGCTGACACATAATGTAGATTGATATTCTTGCAGAGCTTCTCGCCTTAAATTGATCAGGAGTAAATTCGAACCAAGTTAGTATCTCACCATTTCTCTCTGTAAGCATAATTATATGACAATTGAGATGCTGAAGAGCTGGCAACTGATTAGGCAGCGTCCCTCATAATCTGCAAGAGAAGTGTTGTTTCAGAAATAATATAGATAACAATAGTATTCAAATTCATCAATGCAAGACGATATTTTTGTTTGATGAAATTATATTAACTATCATTCACTAAAACACAAGCTACGACATATTTTGTCGGTTTTGTTTATCTTTTGTATAAATTAATATAACTTCTGCTCAATTTTGGAAATTATATACAAAATTTTAGAATTCCAGGACAGAAAGACATAAGAACAATCCTGCATATTCAGTGTTTCATTTGTTTCAGCCGCTTTTCAACGCTGACGACTGTGTTTAGAAAACAACTTAATAATATAAATTGAAAATGTTCATCAACACTAGGTTAGACCCCATAAAAAAAGTTCATAGAGATAAGACATTTTGTGCTAATTAATATGAAAAAATAAAAAAATAAAAAAAAATAACTAGCTACAAAATTTGCATATTTTAATTTCCAAAACGAAACACTACCTGAGATATATATTCCTTGACCTTATTGTTGATGGGTCCATCTAAAGCTCTCTCGGCAAGCTCATAATATATGGTATTGCCTTCAGGACCATGAACTTTGTCCTTCTGTAAATACCTACACAGAAAAATATGAATTACTTCATAGTCCATTGCTATTTTAGAAAGACCGTGTGTGCCACAGAATGCAATGAATCTTGTAATTTAGTTTCACCTTTGCTGAACAAGAAGTTCCAAGGCTTGCTTAATGTTTCCAAGAACAGGATGATTTGCATCATTATCATTCAAACTCATCCTATTTAACTGGCTCCATAGACTGTCTGCAATATCCAACCATATCAAGCCTCATTATGTTAAGATGATGGCACAATTCTCAATTACCCTTGAAAAGTGTAAATATCACTTATATTTGTTACATTCATCGAGAGACCTTAAAGTAGCAGGTTTGGATTTCCACAAGTTCAACAGATGCATCAGATTATGTGTATATAATTATATCATTAAGACACTTCAATCATACCTTCTGGAATTTTGCCACCAGCAAGATGTACAATACTAATTATGACAAACGTGAAACCAGACATGTATGCTGTATTTGGATCCACAACATATTTTTCATATAAATCAGAAGGAAGTTGGCTAATGAGTATATATGATTTCGCGTCCGCACCACCTGGAGGATCACAAGTCATAAGTCTATAATTAGAGGAAATATCAATGGTAACCAGTAAAACATAGTTCGAGCACTCTAGAGAATGCAGACAGATCTGAGCAAGTAAAAAATAATGTACACAATCATACTTACTCATTCCTTTTAAATCTATGTACACAAACATTCAAAGACTTATGAAAACAAAAACATTTGAATGAAAACTGAGAATTATCTTTAGTCTAACTATTGCTAGGTTACCAAAGAAACAGTCTTTCAAACTAGGCTTTATAAGTTAGTGCAGAGTAGTCAATGCTGGCCAATAGCAGCACTATCCATCCTGCTACAACGGAGCGGAGAGGAGGCCGAACACTATGAGAAGAGCCTTATCGATGCAGAACACTATAGCAGCCGCTATGGCGTAAATAGCGGGTAGCGAGGGTTGAGCAGTTCCCGACCCGGAGCAGTTTTTGTCCTGCTATCTTTGTCCCCTCAGAAAAACTGAAATTACCCCTTAAATTTAACAGCTTTTAAGGGTACTTTAGGTATTTCAATCAAATTTGATATGACACTCCACCCTTACCTTCCGTCATCGACATTTTTGCACTTCAGTTGTTCCAAAGAAAAATCACAAATTCCTCTTTGCACTTCGTTCTTCCCCCTTCACTTCCTATTTTTATAATTATTATTCATGTAATCTGTCCAAAAAATGATCAAATAGCTGTCATCCCGCTATACGCTATCCCGCTATCCCATTTTTGGGATCAGCCGCTCCGCACCTCTATCTGGAATTGAATACTCTAAGTTAGCATATAGGCAGACCCGAGTAAAAGGCAGTCCAAACCCTCGTTCAATTACTTTCCCATATGTTCTTAGTTTCAAAAGGATTTTTACATTGCCTGACAACTTAGATCACAAAACCTATAAATTGTTCATAGAAAAGAACTCAATGCTCAAGCAATGACCCATTAACAAAACATTAATAAAATCAACAAAGCAAGAAATTAAGATTGTTGCATATAAGTAAATAGTGTGAGAGTAAACCTCACTTTGTGAAGCACGGGTCTGCGCTTTAGATGACGGGACAGACCTCGAAAGCAATTTCATTTGATAACCAAATACGGCGGAAAGCTTGTCCTTAGCCTCATTGATGACAAAAGTAGGAAGATTCCTCTGATGATAATTCTTGGTAACAAGCTGAGTGAGTTCATCTCTCTTAATTGGACACCCCGAGTTCTGATGAGTCTTGAAAAGCATATAACGGATAACTTCTCCTACAAGCTTATCCTTTTCCTAAATTACAAATCAAAAAATACCTTTTTTTCAAAACAAACCAAAAAAGACTGCGACTGTTTAAGGGGAAGATTGAACATACCTCTTTTGAAATTCCGAATTGGGAGAAATCTTCAATGTTGTTTGCCATCCTGCAAGTATTGTTAGGATGAATTTCAAAATTGGGAAAGAAAGAAAAAAGAAAAGGAACAGAAACACAACACAAATAGTGATTGATTAGGGTTTAGTGGAAACAAAATAGGGTTTATGAATGGCAAAGGCAAAAGAACAAGTAATGAAAAAATAACTCACACGGTGGATGTAAGAAGGGGGCGGTGGATACGAGCAGAAGCTGTGCTGAAAGCAGAGAAGTATGTATACCTAAGCGCACTGGCGGGAACAATACCTCTACGCGTCCCTCTCGCTATTTTTATATTTTGTGAATATAATTTCTTTCGGTGAGTAGAAGTATAATTTTAATTTAATATATATTAATAAATATTTTAATTTTAGTTGGATATCAACGTCTTATTTAATGTTATATATTATTTTATTTTAAATTTTAAACTTTAAATTTATTTACAATAAAATTATAGATGTCAAATTAAAATTTATGAATATCAAAAAATGTAGATTAAGTTATATACAAATTGATATATGTGTCAAATCAAATATGAGTATTGTTAATTTCAATAAATTTATCTAATTCAAAGTTTATTGTGTGAGGGCAAGGTTTCTTAGTGTTTTGTTTTAATGATGTCAAAACTAGTAATATCTTATATTTGTGTATATTGGACGGTATCATCGCGTCTTAGATTGCATTCATCCTTTAATATGCATAGAATAATCCATATACGTGTGTTTATGCACATAGGACTATCTCATATGAAAATTGTGCATTTGATACTTTAGGTCAACTCAAACAGGACTTTAGGCCGACTCAAAAACTTAAAAAAAAAATGTGTTTGTAGCATTCTGGTGTCTTTGCGTCGACTCACAGATGTGTGAAGGTCGATGCATATTGTTGGATAAATCATTTTTTGCTCTCAGGTGTCCTTGTGTCGACTCACAGATGTGTGGAGGTCGATGCATACTGAAAGAAAAACAATTATCTGCTCTTGGGTGCCTTTGAGTTGACGCATGGCTTGGTTCAGGTCGACGCATAGCTTGAATTTTTGCGCAGGTTTGCATTTTGGAGTGTTCAGGTCGACTCATAGAGTGTTGAGGTCGACCTCTCGCTCACTTAAGTGCATTTTTCTGATTCTTTGTGTTTCAAAAAGTTGTTAATTCAGTTATGTGGTATATGTCTCATATATATTCATATGCATCATCTTTTGTAGAGAAAAAAACAAGAAAAGTGAAAATATACATTGAATTTGCCCATCATCTTCATTCTCACACTTGCATTCTTCAACAACTACACATAATCATTTTTGTTGATCTTTGCATTTTCGAGGTGATAACGTCCAAACTTAGGATTTGTATATTGTTGTTTGGGTTGAGAATTCAGTGGGTTTTTCTTGAATAAAACCTTTGGGGTTTTGTCCTTCAAGATCTTGAGGATTTGGGGGGGATTTGTACAAATCTTTGCGTCACAGATTCAACTGAGTGAAAGGCTTGAGGAATGGTGGGTTCAATCAAGCAAGTAACGATAACCAGAGGATTGTGTCAAAAGATTTAGGGCGAACGTCTTGCTATTAGAATCATCCGAGTGAGAGATTTGGAGATTCAAGTGAGTAGTGGTAATCAGAGGTTTGATCAAAAAGTTTGATGTTCTTGATTCAACTAGGATCAAGGGAGAGAAGTGGATGGAATCAACATCGACAATTAGGTTTGAGTGTGTGATGGCTATAACTTCTCTTGTACAAAACTTTGCAACTTGATATTATATATATATATATATATATCTCAATTCTAGATTTAGAATTGGAGGCAGACGTACCTGAAGCGAGAACGAAAAGGAAAACTGCCTAAATAAATAGGGTATCGTTCTCTCTTTCTCTATCTCTTTACTTTGTATTGTTAACGTTTGTGTGATATCAATTGTTCGATAAATTTTTGTTGTAGTGTAGTGCTGAAAACCTGTTTTAGAAACTCATTGCAATCACTTTGATTGTAATTACTAAAAGTTATACACCGTCATTTCATAGGAAATTGAACTTGGGGTGTTGTGCACACCAAGTGTTCGACGTATTGATCACGCACAAATTGTTTGTGAAATTGTCAATTTAATTTTACCTTAATATTTCATTGGAAAACAGTTGATTCAAAGTGATATTAATTTGAATAATTGATTATGAAAATTTTTGATTCGTTTATCTCATCAATTTCATTCCATATTGGCTACGCATATCTGAACTTACCAATAACGGTTCGTTTAGACGATTAAAAATCCACGGCCGCTTCCGCACATTTTTGAAACAATTTTTAAGCGTCAATTTTGTTAAAAATTAGTGATCTATTCAACCCCCCTTCTAGATCATTGTCATCGTCTAACATATTGGACTTAGAGTACGATAGAAATAGAAAAATATATGTGCATGTATTTGTAATTAAGTATTTGTTTATTTGTGTGAGGTATGTTTGTGATAGAAAAATATATGTGAATACATTTGCAAATAAGTATTTGTTTACCTGTATGGGGTATGGGGTATGTTTGCTTGACCTCGAATGTGGAGCTCTAGATTTTGTGCAAATTTACAAGGTTTTTCCTTAAAGTTTATTGAACATCTCTGGGATTGTTCTAGGCTAAAGTTCAGTTCTATCCCCCTCCTATGTGAAAACTTGATTCGAGATCGACGTATGGTCAACCCACCACGGCCTCTAAAGTGGCTAGCTGCTAGAGGGGTGAACCATTATTGCCTATGGGGAATTGATTGTTATAGCTGCATGCAGGTGTCATCTACGATAAACTTTCTTCGTGTGTGCTTTATGTTGTGGAGGAATTGGTTGTTGTAGTCGCACATGCGTGATGTTTGCGACAACTCCCCTGACTATATTTGTGTGTGCTTTATATTGTGTGAAGATGATTGTTGTAGTCATATGCGTACAACATTTGAGACAACACCTTTGAGTCTTTGTGTTGGGGCTTTGATCCCTTCGGTTGTACCCTATACTCGATGTTACCTTACACAACCACAAAGGCATGAATATTTCAAAACTTGCAATATTTCATTTATATTTGAGAAATAATCATACATGCGAAGAAAGTAGTTATACAAACATATCATATAATGCGAATAATAAAGACAACATAACTATGCGGGCTCACCGCCGCCTTTTTTGTTTTTGCTTTTAGTCAACTTAGCCACTTTTTAGGGGATAAATGCTTATGTTTATGAGCTAACCAGTTAGGGAGGCCACATTGATTTCCATTTCCACGCCTTATCGTTGGTCTCGCTGGAATGCATGATAAATTCTATTTGCTCAATCGAAATTGACGTTTATAGTGACCAGTTCCCCTTGAAGATTATGGTATTTGTGTTTAAGATGCACAGGTGAGGCGGCGACATCCAATGTGGCTGCAAAGGGTCTTCCTAAGGTACAATTGTAGACTTTCCTGCAATGGACCATAATGAATTCAAATTGATGGACCAGACATCTTTCCCTTTTTTGATATTAATATCATTAGCTCAATGTACCCCTACTGACGAGTGGTCGTACTGTTGAGTGCCTATAGGTCTAAAGCTTTATACGACCATAAGCTTCCTCTTTCAAGATCTGTTTTATCGAACAACTTAGAATACATGATATCACACAAGTTATCATAGTCAATTAGAATTTTGGAGGCATCAAATTTCCCGATTGTAGTTGTAATCACCAAGGGGAAGGTTTCGTTTGGTATTCCTCCCATATTCTAAGCGTCATAGAACCCTAACATAGGTCGATAAGGGGTTTTGATTTATGCATTTCCATTCTTTTTATGGATGGCCAACGTCTCAACGATCTTTCTATTAATTATTCTCTTGGATGAGAGGTTTTCTCAAGGTTCTCCTCTATTATTGGCAACAATATACTGGTGTTTTCCCTTACTTGCCTCTTTGTCTTCACCAATGGTCCCTGCTTTTATAACTTTTGAGGGGGACTTACCCTTGGGTGACTCCTCTCTTTTTTCCCTCGTTTCATGTACTCAGATAGTCGTCCTCTATTGATCAACCCCTCGATAACATCTTTTAGCTGGACGCAATTGTCAATATTGTGGTCATGACCTTTATGAAAGCAACATCACTTGGTCTTGTCGGCTATAGACGGCTCTCAGACAAGAAAAGGTGCATTGGTTCATACCTTTCGAAATTTTGGGTTAACACAATCTTGGTAGATATTTCAACAGCGTATAATTGTCATATCGAGCATTCAAATTTTCCTCCAAGATCATGTAAGATTGAGTCATGCTCAATATTTCATGTATTTTCCGTTATACATTGCTCCCTAGCTTCAATCTGAAAGGATGATCCCGTAGAAGGTCGTTCTCAAAGATCCAACACTTGAGGCCTTCTTCGGCATTCTCTATGTCCACAACTACTCATGTAAATCGATCCATGTAGGATTGTAATCTCTTCTTACTCCCCTAAATTGTCTCGCTTAAGGAAACTACCATCACCAGCTGCCATTTCCCAACGGTAAAATGAGCGATGAATCTTTCACAGAAATCTGCCCAATATTCAATACTCTCATATTGCAGTCCGTTAAACCATTTCCTGGTCGGCCTAACCAGAGTTAGCACAAAAAACATACATTTGGAGGCCTCATCAGCAGTGAATTTTCATGATGACCTCTAACCAAACAATGAATAGAGCTTGAAGCAGTTAGTCTTCAAGTAAAACAACAAACAAAGCTTCGAGCGATTAGTCTATAAGCCAAATAGAGATTTTTTTCAAGCTAATCTCGAACATAGATGAAGTTTTGAGTTGGCTATCCTTTAAACTAAACTGTGATTTTATACAGGCTGACTACAAACCGGTCAAGATTAATACTGGGATGATCTCAAACCTACTAAGCTTTTAACTAGGATGAACTTAGAAACCTACTGAGCTTTTAACTATGATGAACTCATACTAATCTCAAATTAATAGAGCTTTTAATAAGGATGAGCTCAAGAACCGTTATGAAGATTTTTCACTGGTTGATCTTCACAAACTCAAAACAAAGTTTTTCTTCAATGGCAGAGTTCACCAACCAAACAGAGACTTCGACTAATCTCTCAACTACAAACAAGATTTTTTCAATGATTTAGCTCCCAACCAAAATAGTCACTTTCGAAGGAAGAATAATACTCAAAAGAAAAAGTTACTCTTTCTAAATTTATAATTATACCCTCACCTAGAACAAAATCCTAATCGAGACTGAAGAACACTCTCAAAGCATTAATGCTCAAATATGTGAGAAAACATGAATGCTTTTAGAAAGGTGGTAAGAGAAATGAAAACTGAGTTTTTCACGTTTTCTAGAGGATTTGAAATGATGGATAAACTTTGTATTTATAGTTCAAGAAATGGTGTAAATTTAGAACAATCAATGAGTCAAATAAATGACATAATTGACTAAGCTAATCAATTTGACAAAGCAAATAGTCGATTATTGCCGCCCAAAACTAAAGGTTTAGACAGAGAGTCATTACCAATCATTATGAGACAGTCATAGTTGATTTTAGGCTCAACTAGACATTATCTAATTGATTAAGCTATAAATTTAATTGACTAGAAAATTTGAAAAAATGTATTCCTAATCAAGCAGACAGTCTCCTAATAAACTAAATAGACTCCAAAAATATATCTTTTAGTGTATGTATGTGTATGTGTGTATGTGAATGTGTGTGTCTGTGTGTGCGTGTGTGTGTGTGCATGTGTGCGTGCGTGTGTGTATGTGTGCGTGTACATGCGTGTGTGTGTGTGTGTGCGCGTGTGTGTGTGTGTGTGCGTGTGTGTGTACGTGCGTGTGAGCGTGCATGCATGTGTGTGTGTGTGATTTATCCATAATACTTTCAAAAATTCCCCTGTATCTTTATAAGACACTGGCCACTCAACTGGATACGATGAGATAAGCATTCACACTTTCTCTCTTTCACACTTTGAAGCTTTGGGCCTTGGTATCATTAGTTTTTATTTTAGCATCACACAAGAACCTTTAGCCTTCTTGACGAGGCTTGAGATATTTCCATGTTAGTTACCATCATTTGAGATCTTGAAAGTTTAAACCATTGGTGATCATAAACTCTAAGTCTTCACTTGGTAGTTGTTGGACCGTAGTGTTGTCTTTGGACAAATGTCTTTAGCTTAATTTGATAAAATAACTTGATCAACCACTTTATACATCTTTAACCGCTTGAACTAACTTTAGAAATTACTTGACTTCAAGTGTTGTAATCATTAAAATCATACATCACTAAAAGAAACCATTTGTTAATTGAATTGTATCTTGATATCCATATGCTTCACCATCTTGGATCACTTCTTGATTATAACGGTAAGCACATTAATCTACATAAATGATATAATGAAACAAGGAAATATAATGATCATTTTATGTAAGTGTCCCCTAATGACTATTTATTTCATAATAATAATTTGTTTATTATAAAAAAACATGTAAAATTATATAATTTGTATTATGTAATATATTATATGAAAAAATTAAATAATATGGTTGGGATCGGAGAATCCGCAAGGGCGTAAGTAGGGATGAAAATATGTCAGAGCAGGTCAGACCTTATAAGACTTGAGTTTGGCCTACAATAAATTTTAAAAATCTGAGCCTAATCTATGGTCTATTATAGGTTTTTTCTCTTTTGTCCTAGCCTAAACTTTTTAAAAGACTGTTTTGACCTAAAAACCTATTACACTCTCTCTCATATTAAGACTTTCAAATAATCCATTTTACTTGTGAAATCTTATAGACCGACTTATATATGCATATATAGACCAACATATATGCATAATTTCTAACATATATGTATATATAAGCTGGCATATTAAGCATATATTAAATACAAATGAATATATATGCCAACCTATAAGGTTTTATATGTTTTTTAATAGTCAAGTTTGATATATTTAATTAAATAAACTTTTTAAAAAACTTAAGCCGACTTAGCCTATTTATTAAATAGATCTGGCCTGACCTGACCTTAAATAGGTTAGACTATAGATTAATGTAGACCAATCTAACCTATTCTCATCTCAAAGCGTAAAGTATTTTCTCGACCCTCGCTCTGAAGTGTCATTGAAGGAACTATTTCCTTTCATTCTCGTTTTCACATAAAAAAATTCTTTACTTCGAACACCTAAAAAGATAGTTTTCACATAGATTCTCGTTAACATATGCAAATTAAAATATCTACCAATGAATGCCATTTAAAGTCGGTTAGAATAAAATTTTGTATGGGTTCAACACATAAATTGTTATCTTATACTACCTCAGTTTTTTTTATTATAAGTCGTTTTAAAAAAATATTTTATACCACAATATAAGTTATTTTATAATACCAATGAATCATTAATGTTATTTTTTCTATTATATCTTTAAATATTTATTATTCTCTTTTCTTTTAATTATATAAATTTTTCGATATCAAACAGTTTTGTAAAACTCTTTATAATTTTTCTTTTTTATACCTATATTATTATATTTTTTAATACGTATGAAAAGTAAAAAAAACAATTTATAATAAAAAATGGAGTGAGTAACATTATTAGACTATGAAAAGATCACATTATTTAGTCTCAATGGGAGTGAAGTTAGTATGAAAATATAATTTAATCAATGACTATTTTTTAACCGTAGTATTTATTTAAATTTATGTATTAACATAAACACACTTATTTAAATTAAATTATTGCAGCATTGCTATTTGGTATAATACAAAATGTTTGTCAAAATCACGAATGCTGATGTGTTTAATATTAGAGAGGTGTAACTTCCGAATTTGGTAAAATACATGAGGTAGTAGTGATATAAATATCTTCATAACAATTGCCACCTATATTGTAAATTTTAATTTCGTGATAGAAAGCATTTTCCAAATTATTGATATTCTTATTTGAAACACCGATTTTAAAAAGGGTTAATACATTTTCATTTTATTTATTTTTTAAAGAGTTTAATTGTAAAATATTTTAAAACATAAACAATGTTAAAATATTTTACGCTGTCATTTAAAATAAATATATTATTTTGTTATATTATATTATAGTTTAATAAATATATTATTTTGTTATATTATATTATAGTTAGTTTAAAATTTTCAATAATCGATATCACAGTGTAAAATAAATTTATTTTTTATTATATTTTTAAAAAGAACTTTTAATTTTCTAAAACAGAGACGGGAACGAGATACCACTTCACTTTCCATTATCAAAAATCGAATCAGATATAGAGCAGCGAAGCCTTATTGCTTCTGACGCAATCAAAAATCAATAAATTGATGTGATGTCAAGGGAAGAAGAAGACAAATGCGAGAGACTACAGCGAGCGTTATCGGACTGCCACCGTCGTGTTCCCTCCGGCCCCGGTCAAAACTTCGCCTGTCGTCATCTCAACAACGCCTTCGCTGTCTGTGTTGTTTCTCTCGCATGCCCTGAAGAATCCGAGGCGGTGCGTAATCTCTGCTCCAGCGCCGGCACCGTTCTTAAGCGCCGGCAATGTCAGCAGGCTCAGATTTCTCTCTCGCTCTGCCTTGATTCTCAATCGAATTCGTAACCCTAATTGAAGCCCCAAATTGGCGTGAATTACTAAAAGCCCCTTGTTTGTTTAGTTAAGAATTTGTTTGTAATTATAGTCTCAGTCTCAGGGTTTGTAATGTTTTTTATTGTTTGTAATTGTACCGGTGAATGAATACAGAATGATAAAATAATAGAATTATTATTTTTTCTATTGGATTGCTTAAAGTATAAATTCTTAAATTTTGTTTTTGCAAGCAAGGTTGTGTTATAAGTAACTTAAGAACCAAATGTGTAAGAACACGTAAATAAATTTATTGGCAAGAAAAGTGCATAAATTAGCCTAATTCAATTTTTAGAGAGACATCAAAAGCGAGATGAATTCGAGAGGGTTGACTCCAATTCAAAGTACTTTGGGTGATAAATTTCATTGGGTGATAAAAATGAATTTCCGTCGCAATGGATTAGTGGTACTTAATTCTGATAGGGGCATGCTCAATTAAGTTGATGAGATCAAATGTGAAATCTTCAATCACTTTCATTAAAGATTCCTAAAACTTAAATCAAGAAGACCGAAATTACTTGGAGTGGAGTTTAAGCGCTTAGCCGAGTCTTTCACTTTGGAAAAAGTAAAGGAGGTTGTTTTGAGTTCCTAAGGTGAAAAAGGTTTGGGTCCTAACAGATTTGATATGAGAGTTTATAAAAAGTGTTAGGAGGTTGTTAAGGATGATTTATTCGATTGTGTCATGGAATTCTATTGGAATGTCATCCTGCCCAAAGTAATCACTGCATCATTCATAACCCTTATTCCAAAAACGAGTAATCCTCAAGGCTTGAATAACTATCGTCCTATTTGTCTCATTGGTAGTGTGTATAGAATTTTAGCGAAACTGCTGGCAGATAGACTAAAAAAGGTGATAGGAGGTTTGATCTCGCCATGTCAATCGGCGTTTGTCCTGGGTAGGCAAATGTTAGATGAGGTGTTGGTGATAAATGAGCTTGTGAATTTGGCCAAAAGGAAGAAGAATGACTGTTTGTTGTTTAAAGTCGACTTCAAAAGGACTTATGATTGTGTGACATGGGATTATCTAAGAGATGTGATGGGCAAAATGGGTTTTGGTCGTAGATGGGTGAGGTGTGAGGAATCTTGCGTGTTCTCAAGTTCAATCTCGATTTTGGTTAACGGAAGTCCAACCAAAAACTTTAAGGTGGACAGGGATTTACGATAAAGAGATCCACTGTCGCCTTTTCTATTTTTTCTTATGGCTAAAAGATTAACAGGGTTAATGCAGAATGCGAATCAGTTGGGTCTGTTTCGTTTATTCAAGGTATCAAATGACTTAAGTTTTAACTTATTACACTTTGTGAATGATATGATACTTGTTGAGGAAGGCTTATGGCATAATCTTTGGATTATCAAAGCACCGCTGATGGGTTTTGAACTGGCGTTGGGTCTGTTGGTAAATTTCAGCAAGAGCAAAGTATTGGTCTCAATCTCAAATAAGGTTTTTTGGAGGCAACCTCAACATTCTGGCATCCGATATCAACACGGTTCCTTTCTAATTTTTGGAATTTTAGTAGGTGTAAATCCAAGAAGACAAAGCACTTAGAGACTGTTGTTAGATAAACTTAGGAACCAGTTATCTAAGTGGAAGGGGGAATATCTTTCTATTGATGCCCGAGTGACTTTACTGAATTTGGTAATCAACTTTATTCTAATCTATTTCTTCTCCTTCTACAAGGCTCCCAAGTGTGTTATCCAAGACATTATTAGGATTCAACAGGGTTTCCTATGGGGCTGTGATTCTAAGAAAAGGAAAATGGCGTAGATTAGTTGGCAATTGGTGTGTAAACTAAAGGATCAAGGTGGGCTAGGAGTAAAACATTGTGAAATGTTTAATCTTTCTCTCTTGAGAAAATGGAAATGGCGTATTCTTAACGAAGTCAATGTTCCGAGGTCGGGTTTGTTGTCGTAGAGGTATGGAGATATCAAATAAAAAATGCTTGATGATGCTAACATTGTTGGTTAACAGAAGTGATTCTTTATGGTGGAGAGATTTGAACCTTGTCGATATTTTGGAGGAGGAAGATTGCAATTGGTTCTCAAACAAAATTTCTTGTAAAATTTGCAATGGTTCTTCTATTGAGTTTTGGAGAAACAAATGGCTTGGTTCTTCTCCTCTTAGTAGGTTGTTTCCATTCATTTTTACAAGAGCAGCACGCCAACAACTCAAAGTTTCAACTATGGGGGAATGGGTGGATAATGTGTAGATTTGGGATGTAAGCTTAAGGAAGATAAGCTGCTTCAGGTGGATGAAGAAGCTGAAGTGGAATTTATTTTGTCCATCTTGCATGATGTACATTTGAACCGACAAGTGGGCGATTCTTTTGTGTGGTGGAGGAGCAAACACAGATTCTCGGTAAAAAAAAAAAAGCTATTAAGTAATAAAATCAGTGTCTTATTTTGATGTGCAAGTGGATGAAAGTATTATTCAACTTTTGGATATACTTTTGATTATAAATGTGCCTAGAAAAATACTTTTTTTTGTGTGGAGATTGCTGCTGAATTGGTTGCCAACCCACATAGCTTTGGCTAATAGAGGGATCATCAATGGATCATATAATTTAGTTTGTCCCTTTTACTGTGTTATTGAAGAATCTTTATCCTGCCTTTTCTTCGATTGTAACTGGCCTTTCAAGTTTGGGAACATATTTACAAGTGGTTGGATATGCCGTTTCAATTCGAGTTAGATGCCACGGGTACCAACTACAACAGTTTCGATGTTATGCTCAAAGGTAGAGGGCAAAAGAACATTGTCTGTTTAGGATCTGTTGGGCAATTTAGTTTAGCACAAATGAAATTGTTTTTTAAGGAGAGTTTGTTCGTGTAACACCCATATATAATACATGTCTAGGAATAAATTTCAAAACACGATTAGAGGTTGAAATAAAATGGGGGAATATACCTCTATATATAGTGTTTAGGTTGGTTCAAAAAGAAAAAATAGTTTTAATGCCTTTTAAGACAATCTAATCGATTAGAAACTTTAATAGTAATCAATTTCCGATTCCAAAAAGGAAAAAAAAATATCTAGCTATTTAACATCATTAAGTCGCTGTCATAATCACTTAGAGCTCAAATTTGACTGATATAATCGATTAGACAAGTGGTCCAATCGATTAGAAAAGGAAAAACTTTGCCCATAACAATTTTGACTGCTCCCAATTCATCTGGGATAACTTTAAAACATTTTTAAAAAAAATCTTGAGAAAAATCAGTTTTAAAATAAGTTTTAGTGTGTGTGTATGTGTTTTAGCCATGCACTTTTATGAGAATTCCCTTTTATTTTTACAAATAATTCACTCAGACTAAGGTAGAGCTTGAAGGTGAGAAAATACTTAGAAGGGGAGTTGAATAAGTATGAAAGATTAAAACTTAGAATAAAAACTCAAGTATTTTTATCCTGGTTCGTTGAACTCAACTACTCCAGTCCACCCTTCCTAGAGTGATTTGTCTTTCTCAATCAAGGACTTAATCCACTATTTAATCAAACAGATTACAATAGTAACACCCAAGAACAACTATTCTTAGTCTTCTCAAGAGCTACTGATTCCAACTAAATCCTCTTAAGGAAATCTTTTACAATCAATGTAAAACTATTACAAGAGTAAGAATGCTTCTAAAAAGCTTTTATCACAACTGTGATATTTCTCTTAAGTTTAAGTACAATGAAATAAATTCTTAGAAAGAATATGAAAGTATGAGAGCTTGAATGCTTTTGATTTCTTTTCAACAAAACGTCAACTGAAGAATTTGGTGGAGTCTTGCTTTTATAGTCAGCTGATCCAATGTGAGTTGTACGTTGAGAAGAGTGTCCAAAAAGGTCTGAGCCTTTTTGTCTTCACATCAAGTGACCTTTCCTAGAAGAAGAAAGCACAGAAAAATCCTTTTTTTCTGTGTTCTTGTGTCTAGCATAAATAAGGAAAGAGACGTTTGATTTACTCCAACGAATATAATCTTTGAATATTTCTTCTTCAGTTTTCAGCAAGTTCATCAGAGTCTGATTGGGTCAGAGTCTTCTAATGATGATCAGAGTCTTGCTGAATCAGAGTCTTCTGCAGCAGGTGTGCTTTCAGCGTGTTTAAATATCAGAGCATATTTGAGACAGAACTTCAGTACTGGCAGCTTTAGTACTTTCAGAATCTTCTGTAAAAACTATGCTTTGAAAAGCTCTTCATACAAAATTCTTCTTCACTTCAGATGCTTCTGACTTGCTTCAGATTCTTCTGGAGCTTCTGCTTCAGATCGTTCTGGAGCTTCTACTTCAGAATCTTCTGGAGGCTACCCTCAGAATCTTCTGGAGGCAGCAATCAGAATCTTCTAATGTATGCATCTGGCGCTACAGAGTCTAGTTAATTTCTTGAGTTCAATTCTGATTTGCTTCTGGAGTGTTAATTTCTTTACTATCTGCAGTAAAAACTCTCAAGCAAATTTTAGAGTATATAATTCTTAAATACAAAATTTCATAATAGTTATCATCAAAACATAGAGATATTATTAAGAACCAATATGTGTTCTAACAATCTCCCCCTTTTTGATGATGACAAAAACATCAGAAATTTTGTTTAAATGAGAATATTAAAAACTATAACTCCCCCTGAGATGATGAATCTCCCCCTGAGTTAAATACAGATAAGGAATAGAAACTTCCCTTTTGTCTTGAGTAATTTTTAGAGTTAGATCTTGATTGTCCTTTTAACATTTGAAGGTCAGAATGTCTTGCAAATATCAGATTCAGAGTTTGATAATAGTCAAATGATCTGAGAGACTCAGAGTTTCTTTTATAGAGTTTACTTATCAAATGTTCTGAAATACTCAAATTAAATGTTAGATAGAATATATATGTCTGAAGTTTCATTCTGGTGAAGTTATTTTAAACAGTTCAGATCTATATTTTCTCCCCTTTTTTTGTCATAAGCAAAAAGTAAAAACTTTAAAAAAACAAATAAAAGGAAACAATAAATAAGATAACTCAGTGG